GACCACCACATAGTTTCTGCTTGAATGTTGAACCTTTTTTTCTTTAAGAAATTTTCTACATCCACCGTTTGGTTGATAAGCATATCAAAAGATATACTTATAATACAACTGAAACGTGCAATTGAAAATTCGACTAAAATTTGTTCTTAGAAATTGGTTTATATTCGACTTTTCTTTTATACTATATCTCGAAGAATCATAGATATTTTTACATATATGAAAAATAAACTATTTGGTAGGAAGTTGAAAGATGAATTTGTACGAAAAAATGTCTGAACCGTGAATACTATACGCAGTATCATATGAATACAGAATGACACCTTCTGCATTAAACAATCATTACAAATATAGTTCAAGCAGCAAAATAACACGAATCCGCTGCTTTTTTTTATTTATATTCGATGTGTTTTTCATCCTCTTCATATAGATATTTGTCTTATAATTCATAAAACTGATTAAAAAAAAACATCATCATCCTGTTAATAATAGTATATTCTTACCGTAAATGAATGCAAAATTTGTGTTTTCTTTTGCTTGTATCAATTGCACATGTATGAAGCAATAACGCGGTAGTTGTTATTCTCTTTTCTTGTGATTCAGAAAGTGAAAAGCAATACCTGAGAGAGAAAGAGAAGTGGGTTATGAATAAAGAAATGATCTACTTTTTCTTCATTCATATTCTGACTCATGCACCTTTCTCAATCGTGCAAGAGAAGGAAATGCGATGATTTACACATGTATTGGCCAAAAGAGAGGTCGATGTCATAAGTAAACTTGAGTATTTTGTAAATGGATTCAAATTTCATTGTTTATAATGAATAATATTTCAGATTTTATCGCTCTTCAGATTTATTTTATAGCCCTTTTTTTATTGAATTCTTTCTTCGGAATTTCATTTTTCATTTATCTCTATTGCATGTAAAATATTATTTTGATCAGAAAAGTTATCCGTCGCACAAACGGATAAGCAAAAACATCGAGACGATAGAAATACAATTGAACAACATGAAAAAACATTAGATACTAATCAAAATTGTAAAGACAAACGCATTCTTTTCCTTGGAGAAAAGAGTCTCAAATCAGTAACTGTTGTCGCTGTTCAAAATCTGGTTGGAGCACAAATAGGTAAATGAAAAGAGAAATGTATAGATACAATCTTAACAGGTATTTTCCAGACAAATGAGTTTTTTTTCACGGTACTCTCGATCAATCAGACTTCGTCTTATGATTTTTCTTAATCTATGAGATTTTTCCAACTGGCTTTCTCATCAACGTGAATCTTCATCGCTATAAATGTCGCCTAATATAAATAAGACTACTCGAGATTTCTATAAATAATGAAACTCTTGGTTAATGTTAGCATTCAGCTTTCAATGGAAATCATGATGCTTTTTGAATATACTTGAATTGATGAGATAAAAAATATTTGTACAAAACGAACAAATACAAGATAAATAGAATTTATTCGATAAAATTTTGATGCAGCAAGTAGTACTATGAAACTATACTCCTGTGTATAATTCGTAAGAGAAGTGTCCTTCATGTCAAATGTACTTGCGTCATCCAACAAAAGAATTCACTGTAAGTCTTTGATCGAGTCATCACCGGTCTAGTTTTTGAAAACTAGATATTCTTCATGGCGACCGACCTTTCATAGCGTTTTAAATTATTTACGTTTGCTAAATTATCTGTATCAGCCCGATAATTTATTTTTTAATGATTTTCGATCGCTCTGCTGAAGCTATCGATAATCTCTCGAGTCATGCGATTAGCAAAACTGACTCTTAGTAAGACAATGCCCTTGTTTTAATATTCATTTCCTTAAATTGAATCGTAATAAATTAACATTTTGTTTAATTGTTCAAGTAAAAATGACTGAATTATCAATTCAACATGTTCATTGCTTATGCTTTGCTAGTACATTCGTATTACAGATTTGGCAAAAAACTATTTGGGCTCATATGTCACTTCCTAGAGATCGGTAGTCAACTGTTCAGATAGGCGTAGAGATCATTCTTACATGGATGACCGCAAAATTCAACAGCCGTAGACAGTTGGATCGATCGATGGCGAAATTATTCCATTCTATGCAAAAATGATTCACACCACATGCAATCATAGAATTTCTACTTATCAAGGTAGAAATGGATGAATGATTTCTCGCTTGTGAGCATTTCATTTTCTGTGATGTGAATGATCTGAAATAATAGATACTGTTTCCTTTTGAAAAATATTGTACAGCTCTCATAAAAATTGATTTCAACATGTTCGAGCATTGAAATACTACGTATAATATGATCACTAAGTATGAAAGAATTTCGAAGTTTAGTCGTTTATAAAAGAAATTCATTGATGCAAATATATACTTAGGACTCTTAAGCAGAAACTATTTTCATGTTTTGATGGATGAACTAAGAAATCGGCGCAATCGCAACACTCACAGTGGAAAAATACAATTCTATGAATTCGAACTGAAGAAAACATAATCCACAACTCATCGATATAGATCTCTGTTGATGACTGCAAGCAGATGAAAAGAAAAGAAAAAAGAAGAACGAGATACTAATATAAAAATCTGCTGTGACGCAAATGGTATCGTTTGATAGATCTTTAGAATCTTACTGAAAGATCTGATGAACTCGGGAATTCAGGATCCTGCTATTTCCCAATTGCATGTGATGAACAGCAAGTGGCAGGATTTAGTACAATTGTTACTCGTCAATATGATATGGATTAACAAGTAGGCAGCTTTCAATTTGATTATAATACCTAAATTATTACGTGTCCAATAATAGTTTGGAATGCAGAAATACCTATATTCGATACTGGTTGCATTGCTACATTTAAATGAGATCATCGTATTTATTCTATTAATTCCTAATTCATTCAAATTGATGTCGAACCTAATTGTGGTTGCAGTGTTATTTTAATTACTATTGAATAGCTTGGCATGTCAATGTATATTTTTTTTAACGCTACTAGTAGTGGTTGAAGTATTACAACTAGCAACCAAACTGTGAATGCCAGCACAACCAGGTCATCTCTATGAGACAAAACTAATATTGGAAGACGTCTCTATGCAAAGTGAAAGAATTGAAAAAATAATTTATCGAAACTAGATTTTTATTCGGACAGTAAACTCTAAATGTCTTTGCTTTTTTACATTTGATCTTAATTTAAAGAGATTTTGTTTTGACCTTTCATTTGTTTAAAAATATAGTGTCATATATTAGAGAATTCTTGTGTCAGCGAAAGAAATACAGACTTGTAAAGTAACAAAATAAACAATTGATTATTAATTAAAAATGACAAGCGACATAGAGGCATAGGTGAGTAGCACTTCCTCAAAGTTGAGAAGATTAGTAACGAAAAAGAAGTTACATGATTGCAAATATTGAAACATTATTTGAAGAGTTTGTTCTTAGTTTAAACTGTTCAGATATTTCCAGTCTTAGAGAAACCATACAGGTATTAATAAGTCATGATTCATAATTCAATACACATTTTATGACAAAAGAAAACAAATGCATACGTATGAGTGTAACAAATCAGTTCAATGATTCTTTTCTAAAGTAAAAACAAAGTTGCATATTGATGCTCATTTTAATCTAATTATGTATAATGTCTGAAATTTGATTGAGTAGTTGTACTGTTATTTCTTTACAATAGTGTTATATTATGAATGATTCAACTGTGCGCTCCAATAAAAGTCAAATAAACATTTATTTTCTTTTTATCGACATATCATAAGTAACTAGAACATAAAAATTTTGCCGTCTTTCATGATTTTACCATTAGCTCAGTGTTTGACAACATGAAAATGGCTATGCAAAATGGTTCAATCATTTTTTGATTTGAATTATGTTTCTGATATAAACATGACACTCGTAAAAAGGTTTATTACAAATATTGAGCTACTAACGTTTGTTTTCATTGTAAAAAAAAGAGATAATGGTTGCGAATTGCAATGATTTTAAAGAAATACATTTGACAATGAGAGTCTTTTTTTATAATGAGAAAAACATTGATTCAGAATATACTTGTTTGTTATTCTGAAGAATACAAATGATCAGACCGGAAAATTCCTTGGTGGCTACTTTATGCGATACGACGACTAACGATCTCATTCGACTGACACATGAATGAATAACATCTTTGCAGTTCGATTGAGTTAGTCTCTTTTTTCGGGTGTATGCATATGCTTTTACTATAAAAGTATGCTGTATAGATGTGTTTGCATAATCAGTTGTTGCCTCGTGTGTATTGATGAGAATGGTAGTGTTCGAAGTGGAAATGGTCGTTATAACAGCAGTAAAAGAAAAGTCAATTATTTATTATTGTCATGTGTCTTTGAAGTAACTGATGGTTGCGAGATAGAGGTAGCACTTTCTTCTTCTATACGCAAATGAATTCTAGTGGAGTGCGTATGACAAATATAATACACATGTGTCTGGTGTTTTTGTTTGTGCGCGTGTATATACTAAAAAAAAAAAAGATGCTTTTATTTGCAATTTCTCTCTTTCTCTTTCGATCTCTATCGTTCTCTTAAGTGTTATTATTGTTCTAACATTGAATGAAAGGGACAGAAAAGAGAGAGAGACAGAGACAAAGAGAACTGTACCATTTTTACTCTCCTTTTTTTTACGTTTGCGTCCCTTTTGCCCATCGTTTAACCAGTGTAAGTAGTATCTTTATACGTATACACATACAAACTCACATACGAACGTAATCAGTGGTAGAAGTATAAAGAGCAATACTCATATTCATTCGTTCACCTGTCCTTCAATTGCGCTTTATTTGTCATTTGTTTCTTCTTCGCACATTCAAACATATATATATATACATATTTAGTTATTTTATCGATCATCATCTTGGTTTTGTTCTCTCTCAAACTTGTTCATACTAATGATAACAATAATGATAATGGTGAAGATGGTGATTTGATATATTAGTTCAAATCTGGTATTGTTCATTCATCTAAACAAATAATATTAACGTCTATGAATCGAGCAAGTTGTTTTTTATTTTTGTTTCTTATTGTCTTATCAACAACAACAAATATCGAAGACGATTCTCATGATGATATTGAATTGAAAAGCGACATGTGAGTATGTAGTCTAACGAAGTAAAGTATAGATATAGATCCAAGGCAAATGTTGACACTGACCAAAGATATGTTATTATTGTCGGGTTGACAGAGATAAGATCAAAAGACGACTGTGACAGACGCAACAAAAATAAAACATATGAGACATTATTCTAGAAAGAATGCAATGGTATTTGTTTGAATGATAAAAATATATTGAATTGTTTATATTCTGTCGCTTGTGTACTCAATAACTATACAGAAAGAAAGAAAGAAATCAGTTGATAATCAATAGTCATAGGATAAAAGAAAACGAAGATTTTTTGAAATTTATTTTGAAGGCCAAATGTCTGTTCAAAAATTGAAACTCATACTATAACTAAACTTGTGCCATGTCTTAAAAGTTATGATCATTTTGTTAAAGTATGGTCACGCAATTGTTCTAATGGTCGTCGTATATGTCCAGTATATGAACACAGGTTCGATTATTCTTTCAAGAATATTATATTTTAATTGATTTCTATATTTAGAACGGAATATTATCGAAGTGAACAAACAGTAACAAAAGAAGTAAATGTGACCATCTATCATTGTTGTCTTGGATGGACACGTCTCATTCATGATTATGGTTGTCCTATTGGTAAGAATTCATTTGTCTCTAATAAAAAAATATTAATTTTTTTTCGTTTGAAAATAATTGACTATTATTGTATAAATGATTTTATTGTCTACTTCAATGTATGAAAAAAAAAATGAAAGAGCAACGATGATGAACGATTGAATAATATATTGAAATCCATCATAGATGCTCGTTATAAATGAGTACACCACTTGATTTTTTCATATCAATACTTTCCCTTCGTTTCATACAGCAACAAAAAAAAAGTATTCACCATTGACGATTCGTGACGATATCATTACAAACACATTTACACATGCATAGTTATTATTCATTGGGGTTGATTTGTAAATCGATGACCATGAACTAATGTTCTTGTTCTCTTTTTTTTTTTGACAGAATACAGATGTATGTTGACATACTTATTAGAAGGAAAACAAGGTTTTAAATCCATCTAACTCGGTCAGTCGAAAAAAAAAAGAAAGAATGTTCAAAGGGATAATTTAGATAATAATATCTAATCATTAGGTGGAACACAGTACAAAGTCCAATTTATTTAAAACATGATCAATATTTAATAATAAAAAAAAAAAAATTTAATTTTTTTTTATTAAATATTAATATTCGGCTGAATTTGATTTTGTTAATATTCATTCAGATGCATATCTATTGATAAATTAAATGTATTTTGACAGTAAAAAGAAACAAAAACATATTAAATATGATTTATGTTTTTCTTTTCAAAGCAATGCAACCAAATCGAGTGCAACGAAAAATTCCTTTACGACATGAATATTCTCATCAATTAGATTCAATTAATAGTAAGTTTATCAAAAAAAATTTTTTTTTTTCTATTAGATTTATTATTATCATTTTAGATCGTTGTCCACATAATCGTTTTGGTATTCATTGTGAATATTCATGTTCTCAATGTATCTTTGGCACATGTAATTGGCGTATGAGAATATGTGATTGTCAATCGGGTTTTACTGGAGTATTTTGTAATCAAACAACAATGATTGAAAGAAATATAATTGATGGAACACATCGATGCCAATTATGTCATAAAGGAAATACGGCTTCGTGCCATATGGAAGTAGGTAGGCTTTTTGTTTTGTTCAAAGAAAAAGAAAAGAAAAAAGGATTCGATTACATATTAAATAGAAAAATGATATTTGATTTAGTTCTATTTATGCATAAAGAGATATTATTTTTTTACGTCATCCTTTAGACTGGCAAGTGTCAATGTTTGCCCGGCCATCGTGGAATTCGTTGTGAAGAAGGTGAGTTAGACAAGAGAAGCTTTTATTTGAGAGACATTATTTGAATTGTTACTTGACACAGATAGCATATTAATATGTGAGTATTTGATGAATGTTCGATGCTTCTTTTTTTTTTGTGTGCGTGTACATCGCTTTGAATTATGTAAATGTTCTTGTTTTAAAATGCAATATTTGTTATGTTGATAGATTGTCCAACTAATTATTATGGTCGTGATTGTATACATCGATGTTTATGTCAAAATGGAGGAATATGTGATTCACGTGATGGTCATTGCTTTTGTTTATCGGGTTTCACAGGTAGTCGATGTGAATCTTCATGTTCACCTGGTACTTTTGGACATATGTGTTTGCAAAAATGTCAATGTACAGGAGATAATGTTTGTCATCCACGAACAGGTAAAATTAAGTATATTGAAAGAAATAGACAATTGATTGTTTATTTTTTAATAAAGGAGAATGCAACTCATTACCTTGTAATGGTGATTCAAAATGTTTATTTGAACAACAAAGAAAAAAATCTTTAATATCTTCTTGTCCAGAAGGTGATTAAGAAAAAAAAAACATTTTTTTTTTCTTATGATAATATTTGATTTATCAATTCGAAGGTTATTATGGTCCACCTAGTTGTCGTCAAAAATGCATGTGTATGAATAATGCTCAATGTGAACCATTGTCAGGTCGTTGTCTATGTCATTCGGGTCATGCTGGACGATATTGTGAACGATGTTTGTTATTTGATTTTTTTAAATTTCTATGCCATTATGTTTTATAACAAGTTTTTCTTCGTCTTTAGCTTGTGAACGTGGTTGGTATGGTCCTGGATGCATTCATCGATGTACTTGTCATAGTGGAGCAACATGTGATTCACGTACAGGAGCTTGTCTCTGTGGACTGGGTATAACAGGAAAATTATGCGATCAAGGTTTGTTTGATTGATGAGAAATGAAGAATAATAATTTTGTCTCTTGATAATACAAATTAGAATGTCCCGAAGGAACATTTGGTCGCAATTGTTCAGAAATATGTCAGTGTAAAAATAGTGCTCAATGTAATAAAATTACAGGTTGTTGTACTTGTTCTATTGGATATTATGGTTCGACTTGTCAATTTGGTAAGAATATAAAAAGATGTTTGATGATTAAATAAAAAAAAAAATTAAACTTAGATTGTCGACCATTTACATATGGATATTATTGTTCTCATACATGCAATTGTTCAACAGAAACATCAGATGGCTGTGATCCAAAAACGGGTAAATGTCAATGTAAAACTGGTTTTCATGGTGATCGATGTGAAATCGGTAAAATAAGATAATATTATATAAAATCAATATAAAGTTTTTCTTTATTTTAAAGCATGTCCCTTAGGACAATGGGGTGATGAATGTTTAAATAAATGCGATTGTAATGGAAATTCATGTAATTCTCAAACTGGTATTTGTGAGTGTCCAGCTGGTCGAACTGGTGTTCGATGTGAAGAAGGTATGAATTAAAGATTTAGAAATATAAAATATGATATCGTCTTATTCTAAAGATTGTCCCACAAATACATATGGTATCGGTTGTAAACCATGTTCATGTCAATCATTTCAATTGTGCGATGTTGTAACAGGTGAATGTAAATGTCCATCTGGTTGGAAAGGTGATGCTTGTCAATTTCCATTAACAGCAAATGGACCTGGTTTGTATATCATTAAAAAGATAAAAAACCTAATTATATTATTTACGCTCTTTTTTTTAGATATGCCGGATAGAGGCGATATGTATAAGAAAGATGCTTAACATGGGAATTGTTTCGTTTTCGATTAAGTTTATTTTTTTATATTTACTTGTACAACATTTAATTTGATTTGTATGTAGTCAGTTTAAGAAAATAAAAGAACAGATATTAATGAAAACAATAGAAAAGTAATATTTATACATATATATATATATATATATTTATTTTATTTTAGTATCAATATAACGAAATGAAATATCCATAGCAAATCTCAACTATATCTCTGACAAATTTGTTTTCTGTTATACTATAACTTTCTCTTTTTTCATTGTAAGAATTCATTTTTAATATTCATTTAGTGAAATTGAACTATTAAAAAAGTCCAATAGTCAATGTTAAGGGTGAAAGTTCAACGATTAAAAGTAAAATTGTATGGTTGCATGAACTCTTTGATGCATCATCTGGTTGCTATCAAGTTGTATCGATGATAAATCTTGTTTTAATATTACTTTCATCTGATTGTTATTGAAGATGATAGTATAAGGCATGTTGTAAATCAATTTTATTTATCATTCACAATTCATGTTGAAGACCTTGAAACACCTTATATTGCTGATTACCAATTCATTCTGTGATGAGATAGATCAATGAAGTAGAATTCGGCCTTATTCTGATTGATGAAAGTCCAGTAAGATACCATTATGGCATGAAATTCGAACGAAAAGACAATATATTGAGTTGTGACATATATTCTGAGTTTTTTTTGTTTTTTTTTCAGGTGAATTTAAGGCCTTCTATCTTGTGATTGGAAAGAGATAGGAGTCTGAAATTTTCAATATAGATAGACCTTTATAAGTTCTATCTTTGCTAAAAACTTCAAACCACTATCTCTCTCCAGTCACAAGATAGATAAAGGAATAGGTTTAGAGTATACATATTAACACACCGTTTTTAAAATATGAAGACTTGACTTTATTTGTTGCTGAGGTGTTGGTTCATCGTCGTGTTTTACTGTGAATTACATAGAGATGTGGTCGTGTTCGTTGGATATACAATAATTTTACGGCTCATGTTTCACTGGAAATGATATGCGTATGCCATCATATACAGCACAGCAACATGCGACCATAAACTTGCCCTAGCTCAACGAGCGATTTACGGTGCGTTTACAACCATCGTAATGATAGACTTGGAAATTGATGTATAACAATGTCATTGATTAAAACGGGTATTTTAATCAAGCAAGTAGAATGAACACGGTTATTAATCAAAACCATAGAGTTTAATTGATGAAAATCTCTTCTTTAATCAATGAACTTGATGTATTATATATGCTCGGATGTTAGAGATCTTTTCTCTTCTTAATGTTTAAGCTGTTGCTTCGATGTAGATATCACTAGTCATTATCTGTTGAACGTACAGAGTGTATAAAAAGTATGACCACAAAGCTGGATAGTGTGATTGTTTTTTATTGTTACAATTGTCATTAAGTATTGACTACAAAAGAAATAATGAGAACCAAAGGATTTAGTGTATTAGATAATGCATAAAAGTTGTTTGTTCAGAGAACAGAATAAAACGAACAATGTAAAATATTGTGATGATCGAAGTATCATGATCTATCCCTCGAAGTTGCTAGTGACTTGTAAAAATTTTCACGTTATGGGTGTGAATGTAGATTTGAATGTATTCTTCACCCACATGCACATCCAGTTCTCGCAACGACAATGATAATATTTGTGACACGTGAAATTAATTTTTATTATATTTTATACATGTCTTTCGCTTGTCTTCTTTTTCAACTCTATGTTGAGACAGATTCAATTTGTACTAAAATTTACAGTTTAAATAGTACATATTTTAATTGGCAGACCAAAAAGAAAATCTAGGCGAGTAGTTAGCCTGAGATAGCCTCAATGACAACGAGCATTTTTTCGTCTTCAACAGATTTACTTTTATTATTTTATTACACTTGATCTTTGCAAGAGTGCTCATTCGTATGACTTTCATGCGTTCAGCCCATAAGTGTTTTAAACAATGCGCATAACTAGTGCAAACACTCAAGTTTTTGCCTATTGAAAGAAAGTTATGTGCTATGGACAAAGCTTGAAGTCAGCACATATCAAGAGCATGAAAAAAAATTCTTCGAGCATACTTTATAACGTTTAGTAACATCTTCATTTTGAGAATTTTTATCACAAGCGTACGTCTTGTTATTTAAAATAAGCTTAGATATTATAATGATTAAAGTTGTACAGTGAGACCATAGAATACATAACAATATACTTGTGAAAAGTGTAATGCAGCTATAAAGGATATATAGATTAATTAGAATTCTGACTGATAAGACTGATGAATGAAGGACGATAGAGAAGCAAACAAACCTATGCATTGTGAATTATATGACTAATGACACACAGTATACCATCAGATGAATTAAAAAACGTTTCTTTGTTGCAACTATTTGCAGATGCACTTCTTATCAGCGACATCTGTATGAAATCTTGAAGCAAAACAAAATCCAGAATATTTTATTTTACACGATATAGACAAGAGCTGAAAACAGAATATAATTATCACTTGCTTATTAGGGACATTGACACGCTTTTATCAATCTATGACGATTCACTTCGGTGAATATTCTATAGAGCAGCACAAGAGAAACGTTTTCAGTCAAAAACACATATATTTACAAAAACTTGCCCTCAAAAGGGAGTGTTTCATTCGGTTATGAGTTTTAAATCCGAAATATTTAGGTATTTAAATTATCACACAGGATCTATTGATTCAAAACTATGGACAGAGTGCATAACTCAAGCAGCCCCCCTCCCCCCGCAAAAAAAATGTGATTCATCTAGGGACTGATAGCATATCAACATGCGCTTTGTTATTTTAAAAAGCAATGCAATATGCGAAACTCCAAGTAAATAAAACAAAAACATGTTTTGAAGTTCGAAGTTACATAAAATCAACATCAAGCACTCAAAAATCATCTATCATATTTTCACATTTTGATAGGTTTCATGAACAGGAAAATAATTATTTTTCTGTCCTCCTCCGTCCTGTTTGCCGACAACCATGTTTATTACAGTTTCGTGAGTATTCATTTATGGTATCTTATTTGTAATTTTTATGAAATACTTTGCACAACTGATGGATCCGAAAGCCATACTGACTAGTCAGTCGTACAGTCAGAACGAAGTCCACACCTTAGCTACAGTTGCAATTCGAAAAACAGACTTAGCGATTAAAATTGTTTTTTTTTTGTATTTTAAATAGTTCAAATGAATGAATGGCCGTGAAGGGAATCACGAGGAAAGATTACATCTTTAGTAAAACATAGGTACATTTTTACAAAAACCAATAGTCATTTTTGTCTTTTCTTAGTGATATCTATGGAATATCATAACATATGCTAAAAGTATTTTTTAAGTTCTAATTTACCGTCGTCAATAAAACATTAATTAAATGCTATAATCTTTAAAATAGGTTTTGTTTGAATCTTTATTTTGATAGCATACATTTCATGTTTTGATACTATTATTTTCTAGGTCAATATTAACATTACTATATAGATGTGAATGACGCACGCTTCTTATTTACGTCACTGAATCCGATCGTGTTTTGATCAGTAGATGAATAGAAATAAACTCTTCAGTGACTAATAAATCTTAGGTAAATCAATATTTGGCTTCTGCATCGAAGATTAGCTTTACTGTCCTAGTCATAAGTAGATAAATTTAAATGAAAGAATAGAAAAATGTTAACATTATTTTTTTTGCCCGGAACATGTACGTATTCATGTAATAAAATTCAAATATATTTTTTTACCATTTTTAAAAATGAAAAATAAACATCTTGTATTTTTTACTTTTTAGGCATGAATGGTCATATGAAAATTTGAACACGATAAAAATTGATTGATTTCTTTTGCCACTTAAATCTAACAAGTCATTGTGTTCCTATCATGAGAATCAAATTATTATTATTAATAGTTTTCTTACTTTATAAATTTTCAACTGAAAATCAACTGGATTTCTGTACATTTAATTCGACCATTTCTGAACTTCCATCAACATGGTCATATGCAACACTTGATCAAGTAAAAATTTGCTTTGAAAATATGCCAATAAGCCATTCTATAATAAATGAAACAATGAAACAATTATTCAATTCATTAGATTTCTATAGTTTTCTAAGTTTAGTTCGTCAAAGTAATTATCCATACTATACAAATGTTAATATTCAAGAAGAGTTATCAAATCTGTTGTATCAATCAAATATGAATATGTATAAAAATGATTATGATTTTCATATGGCTGTAACATCCTGTTTCAAAAAATTGAAAGATTTTCATACAATATATTTTGCACCATATGGTTATGCACAATTTCATGTGTTATTTCCATTTATTTTCGAATTTTTACCATTAACAAAACAAATAAAAGTTAAATTTGGAATTAATTTATATTCTTCTATAATCGGAAATAATTTAAATATGAATTATACAAATCGAATCATCACTAAAATTGACGGAACAAATGCTTTAGATTATATGCAAAACTTTGCTGAAAAATATTCTATTATGAGTAAAGATCCAAGTGTAAGATTAAATTCTATTTTTCGAGAAGAATATTGGTTACAAAATCTTGCAGAATATTCATTACCATTAAAAAATAATATTACATTTACATTTTCAGATAAAGATGAAACAACAGTAACATTTCCTTATGTCATAATAATTACGAAAAAATTTTATAATCAAAGTCATCTAGAAAATGAAAATCGTTTTTCTCCATCATTAAAATATACAACCAGAAATGCTTTTAAGTATATAACTAATTTAGAAAAATTAAATTGGTATGAACAGAACAAAAATAATAATTTTATTTTTCTTATGGGTAAAAATGATACTTATTATTATGTTCATAAAAATACAAATACTTCAATTATCAGATTAGGATCATTCGATGAAGAAATTGCCGAAGATGTAAAACAGATATTTTTAACAGCTACTGGAGAAACATTAATAATTGATTTAATAGGAAATCGTGGTGGTCAC